TTTTGAAAATTGTCTAAGTGTTTTTTTGGCCACACAAAGGAAGTAATTGGGGTCCAATGTTTTGTTTTGGACCCCATTTACTTTCATTGTGAGCAAAAATAGCTAAAACGTTCTTAAAGAAAGCAAGCCATACAGATTGGAATGATATCAGTATTATTTCTATACTGTTATAGTATTCATTAATTTTTCAATCTTCATTTAAATTGTAGTTTAAGTTTTAGTAATTTTGTCCCTTTTATTATATTATTAAATTTTAGTTTTTTTTTTTATTTCATTTGTAGTTAATACATTTTAGTACTTCAACTGAAACTGATTTATTTCAGTTATTTGTCAAGGCAAAATTTCTAAGTTTTATAAGTTTTTCATCCAATACTAAATTATATCAAATGAATGAATTAATAATAATAATTCGCTTGATTTCAATTACCGAAAATACTTTTAATAGTTAGATGTCAGAATTTTTATTTTTATGGTAACCCATCCATTCAAATTTAGGATTACATTTGATGAAATGAAGTGACTGAAACACTAAACTGAAAAAATATACTGAATTAGGGTTTCCAGTTATGATCAGCATCTCAGGAATCAAATTAATTAGATGAGAGCAGTAGCATTGAATGCTTTTTTTCCATGCAAGAATATAAGCCTTTTAAAGAAGAATGAAATGTTTGCTTGCCAGACCCTCTTTAATACAACTGAACGTTAGACTGGATAATTTTTCAGAAATGTTAGATACATTTTTTGCTCAATTTAACTTACTGCACATCAGCCTGTCATTTAAAAAAGCATCAGCTCTCCAACAAATGTCTTAATTCAGCCTAATGTGGATGCTGAAGTGGGCTGAGATTTGATGAAAGAGCTATTTAGACATGAGTCACTATAAGGTTACCTAAAATGTGTACACAATACCTAGTCACCACTACAATTTAGGCTAATTAGAAGTGTTTGCAGACACATTTTATACCAGAAGAACGAGGCAAATTGTCATTTCTGTTCCATTATGTGCAGACATGATATACAGGTCCTTCTCAAAAAAATAGCATATTGTGATAAAGTTCATTATTTTCCGTAATATAATGATAAAAATTAAACTTTCATATATTTTAGATTCATTGCACACCAACTGAAATATTTCAGGTCTTTTATTGTTTTATACTGATGATTTTGGCATACAGCTCATGAAACCCCAAAATTCCTGTCTCAAAAAATTAGCATATTTCATCCGACCAATAAAATAAGTGTTTTTAATACAACAAAAAAAAGTCAACCTTCAAATAATTATCTTCAGTTATGCACTCAATAGTCAATACTTGGTCGGGAATCCTTTTGCAGAAATGACTGCTTCAATGCGGCGTGGCATGGAGGCAATCAGCCTGTGGCACTGCTGAGGTGTTATGGAGGCCCAGGATGCTTCGATAGCGGCCTTAAGCTCATCCAGAGTGTTGGGTCTTGCGTCTCTCAACTTTCTCTTCACAATATCCCACAGATTCTCTATGGGGTTCAGGTCAGGAGAGTTGGCAGGCCAATTGAGCATAGTAAAACCATGGTCAGTAAACCATTTACCAGTGGTTTTGGCACTGTGAGCAGGTGCCAGGTCGTGCTGAAAAATGAAATCTTCATCTCCATAAAGCTTTTCAGCAGATGGAAGCATGAAGTGCTCCAAAATCTCCTGATAGCTAGCTGCATTGACCCTGCCCTTGATAAAACACAGTGCACCAACACCAGCAGCTGACATGGCACCCCAGACCATCACTGACTGTGGGTACTTGACACTGGACTTCAGGCATTTTGGCATTTCCTTCTCCCCAGTCTTCCTCCAGACTCTGGCACCTTGATTTCCGAATGACATGCAAAACTGAGCAACAGTCCAGTGCTGCTTCTCTGTAGCCCAGGTCAGGCGCTTCTGCCGCTGTTTCTGGTTCAAAAGTGGCTTGACCTGGGGAATGCGGCACCTGTAGCCCATTTCCCGCACACGCCTGTGCACGGTGGCTGTGGATGTTTCTACTCCAGACTCAGTCCACTGCTTCCGCAGGTCCCCCAAGGTCTGGAATCGGTCCTTCTCCACAATCTTCCTCAGGGTCTGGTCACCTCTTCTCGTTGTGCAGCGTTTTTTGCCACACTTTTTCCTTCCCACAGACTTCCCACTGAGGTGCCTTGATACAGCACTCTGGGAACAGCCTATTTGTTCAGAAATTTCTTTCTGTCTTACCCTCTTGCTTGAGGGTGTCAATGATGGCCTTCTGGACAGCAGTCAGGTCGGCAGTCTTACCCATGATTGCGGTTTTGAGTAATGAAACAGGCTGGGAGTTTTTAAAAGCCTCAGGAATCTTTTGCAGGTGTTTAGAGTTAATTAGTTGATTCAGATGATTAGGTTAATAGCTTGTTTAGAGACCCTTTTCATGATATGCAAATTTTTTGACACAGGAATTTTGGGTTTTCATGAGCTGTATGCCAAAATCATCAGTATTAAAACAATAAAAGACCTGAAATATTTCAGTTGGTGTGCAATGAATCTAAAATATATGGAAGTTAAATTTTTATCATTACATTATGGAAAATAATGAACTTTATCACAATATGGTAATTTTTTGAGAAGGACCTGTATTTATACACAGAAGAAATACAGTTTTTTCTTCACAATAACAAATGCATATGGCAATATATCAGTCATAAACACATTAGCAGTGGAGGTCCACTATGTCTCTGTTAGTATTGTTTTTTTTTGTATTCACAGCTAAATTAATTTTCCACATTCTATTCCACAGCCAGAAATTGTAAGAGAGGAGGCAGCGCTGATGTTCAACCTATTGATTTCCTGAGCACTTCAGTAAGGGCGGGCTCAAGCAATCTGAGACACTTGAACATATGGAGAGTCAATGGCCATTATACTGTTTTGTACTGGTAGTAGTATTCAAGACTGGAGGCTCAAGGTGATTCATTTGATGTACTGAAACTGATGTGGTAGTGTATAAATGCAGTTGCGGGCCAATAAAGAATGCCATTTCAACTGAGAGCCAAAATTCAAGGAAAATAAGGAAAACAGAGAAGGAATAGAGATTTCGAAACACAAAATAATAAAGAAATAAAACAGGCTACAGTATATTATTATTTAAACAAAACAAATGAAACAAAAAGCATATTTAGTATTACTTTTTATGACTTATATACTGTATATATATTTTGTAAAAAGTAACTAAGTAATGGGAGAGAGTTAGTATATATATTCCCAAATTGGAACATTCATTCCTTTGAGGTTTGCTTGACTCAGAGCATGAGAACGTAAGTGAATCAGGGATGGTCAAATATAATCCATATTCGGTATGAAACTAAAACAGACAGTTGAACAAATACCCATAAAACTCAATTTCCCCCTTACTGGTGCCTAACTCCCTTTGTGATGCTGTACATAACTGACAGACATTTGACCAGTGGTTCTCAACATTTTTGACAGTTTTCAAAGGCCAGTTGTCTTCCAGTTGTTCATGATGGATTAAGGATAAGGACATTTTAAAAGATTTTAGAGCTTAGCATAAATAGAAAAAAATGCATATTCAATATAAAAATGCCCATGACGTAGCAAGATTTTATTCCTTTACATATTTCAAAGACAAAAATGTAATTAAAATAAGAAATATCTTGTTTTTTAGTTGTATATTCTTATTTTAATTTATCATTTTAACTTATCTTGAGGCTCCCCTGGAAGGTTGCTGAGGCCACCTAGTGGGCCCTGGACCCCTATAGTAGACAATTGGACTTCGTTCGCTCAGAAAGTTTTTTTACATTCTCTCATTTCTTACATGGATTTATGGTGCAGGTTGAGGAATAAAGTGTAAAAAGACCCTGTTCAAGCATCTTACCCATTATTTTCTACCTCAATTCACCTTTATCACTAAACCAAATTGTCATCTGTGATTTTAAAGCTTTTAAGCAGAAAAAGCAATGCACATTTGCCACTGTAAAAAGTTAAAGAAAATCTCATAGTACTTACAAAAACACTATTTTTAAAACAAAACAAAAATAACTGGACAGGGAACTAAAAATAAGAGTGCCCAAACATAAAAGCTCTTAAATTCATCTCCATAGATTTATGTTGAAAGCAAACATAATTTTAGGGCTGTTTTTGACTGCTAAACTGCAATTACGCTTTTATATGTCGGCAGGTTAGCAGGAACCATCAGGTTAAGGGCAGTAGAGGATAATCACCATGGAGAAAGGTATGCAGTCGACAAGAGATATAAAACACATTGGAGAGACAGAGGGTAGGATAGCATGCTGTTACAAAATAAGAGCAGAGGATTTACAAAGAAAGAGAGAAACTGTTCACTTTTGTATTCATTGGTTTGATAAACAAGCGTTACAGCGGTAAACCTTCTTGCAAGGGCGCAGACAGAGGAAGACAGACAGCGGGGATGAGGGGTGATGGGAGGAGCGTGGTACAGAGAGAGAAGAGGGGACACCCCAATAAATGGATTACGCTACATTTCAAACCGATTCAGATGAAACAAAAGTGCCACAAACCGAGAAGGCCAGGATTGACTTTGCATAAAGATTGCACTCTCTACAAGTGCATCAGTGCAGAACTAATTTAACTGATGCAAACCGTGAGTACTAAACCTTTTATGCGATCAACTTGACCGGGCCTCATTTTAGCCTTTTGGAGAAGTCATGGATATTAGTCTATGATGTTAACAATAAAGTCTCGAACAGACATACACAACCAAAGCTAATACGTGTCGCACAAGAAAACAGAGTGAACATGATAGCTGCAGGGATGAAAATGTGATGGAAGAGGAAGGAAAAGTACTTAAAGTCTCCAAACAAACACATGGTTAATTTTCCACACAAAGAAGCAGAAAGGTCAGGTAATAAGCTAACAAAACACCCGGGAAAGGTATTGGAACATATTAGCATGAAAAAAGAATTTGAATTAGCAGAATAAGACAGACGAAAAATTAAGGCAAGAAATGACCAAAACAAAAGCAAAGTGAAAAGCAAAATACCAGCAAGTGTTGGAAAAGGACGGTGGCTTCCTTTCCCCCGATTTTGCCCACTTCCAGGTCAGCCATCCCTCGTTTCTCCTCTTACAGGTTCCTCTCCTACTTTACTCTTCTCCCTCTCGTATTTCACGTTTCTGCCAGTCCACTCTCCTCGGTCCTGCTCTCTTCGTTTACCCCCTCCCTCCCTCCTTCCTTCTCTCTCTCTCTCTCTCTCTCTCTCTCTCTCGCTTTCTCTCTCTCTGCCTTTTCATCATTCCTCCTCACAGACACCACTCTCTTCCGCTTCCTTCCTTTCTTTACGGATAAGTGTAGAGAAGAGGGAAGGGGGAGGGAAACCTGCACCGTAAAGAGAGCAAGACTCGTGTGTTACAAGTAAAAAAAGGGCCTCTCAATGAGAAACAGGCTATCTCAGTGTGTGAGACACAGCTGAGAGAGAGAGAGAGAGAGCCGCATTGAGCCGGTTTCTCCACCCGTTGGGAGAAACAGAAATACTAGATGCTCTTAAAGCGGTGCGTTAAAAGAAGACCTGATGAGAGGCGAGCTAGGGAAAAAAAGAACAGTGGTGTTTAATAGTATGTGCATGTGCAGGAGAGAGTGAAGGATAGGAATACAGGACAGATCGAGATGGAGCGAGAGAGAAAGGGGGGTGGCTTCAGACAGAATATCTTAGTGGGAGGGAAAGAGGAGGAGAGTAGCAGTGAAGAGAAATCAAAGGGGTGGATTTTACTCCCAGTCTTCTCGTTCACTTTTTCTCTCATTCGGAATCAATGTGCTGTTAAGGATACAGCAGCATACAGATGACTCCTCCCGGCTTAGTTACCGCATATTGTTTTCTCAGCTCTTCCACTTGGTCAGGAACATGTAATCTTGCACATGAACTTGAAACTCTCTCCCTGGACTGCAAGCTGCAATCCCATCTTGGCCTCTCCCTACTTAAACCTCCTGCAGTAGAAACACACTGAACTGAGTTTGGGGGACAAGAAAAGGAAAGTGAACATTGATATGCAAAGCAGTGAGGTGCAGGACAGCCAGAACAATATCCTGACATGGCAGGTTCCATTGTGACAAAATACCTCATATACTGTGACAACATGACCTGCTTTTGGTTCCAAATTTTTGTTATAGCCTATTTGCCTACATACAGCATGAGAAACATTTACTGGAGTAAAAAGTGTGACAAGACAACCAGCCCCGATCTTCACCGTATATATGATTATACTCCTTCCTCATCTCTTCGTTTTGTGCAGAAAGGTCACATGCGTAAATAGAGTGGTTCATAGGTGACGCGGCCAACACGATTGAATAAAACATGCAGTGTTTCACGGTTTGTTTGTTTTTTAAAGTTTTGATTTGATGTAGGACGTTGAAAACGCTGCGATTGTGGCTCAAAACTGAAAAAAGTATGCACGTCGCAAGTCAACAATTTAAACAGATCAAATAATTAGCGAATTCTGTCCTCATCAACTTCATGGTGGTTTTAAAGATGTAAACAAGATGGAAATGGAGTTTCTTAACATAAAATGACCAAGTAAAGGTAGGGTAGGCAATTTTTTTTTTACTGGTTGAAACTCTCTTCACATCCTGATAGCAATCAATAACAGAAGTAGTCTAAAAATTCAAAATATTAAAACAAGCACTTCTGTGGAAGTCCCAGGACCAAAAAAATATTTGTCTAATCATTGCATTCTGCCCAAACGCAATGATATGATGTCCTTCCTGTCTTTCAACATTCCGCACACCCTGCTCGTGCAGACATCATACGTCATCAGCGCGTTCCGTAATGCCTGGTACACATTGTACGATTTTGGGCTGTCCCAGACCATAGACTGTAAAAAAATATGGACGTAGTGTCCGTGACGTCACCCGTAGGTTTCTGAAGAGCGTTTTTGAAGCCTAAAGTGGGCATGGCCGGCCGTCGCCATCTTGGCAACGCATCACCTTTCGTCACTACCGGATTACAGAAAATGGGCAAAAAGGCAGGACTTGGGTGGAGCTACTGACCTCACGTTAAAGTGACAGCTGATTGAAGAATTAAAGCCAATAGTTTAGTTCATGTTTTTGCCCTTCGAAATATTATAATAGTTAAAAGACGTAACTAAAAGTGAGACTGTGTATCGTGATGTATTATTATTCTGCTATAAAAATGTATTATCATGCAGTAACAATATTGCTCTGAGCTTGTGCGTGTGACAGTGATTTATGCGCATTCATGTCAGTCAGCAGGGCATCGCACGTCAAGTTCGTAAAGAGCTTTGTTCAGTCCATTTTAAAATCTGATTTTGGCCGCCTCTCAATTTCTCAAATGTGTTAAACCAAAGATATTACCTCAGAAGTTCAAGTAAATGCACTAGAAATCCGCGCTCATTCAAGGGTGTGCATCTATTGCATGGACGGAGAGAAAGCACTGACACCTGCAGGATTTCATCTGACGGTACTTTCACTAAAAACTTAAATAAGCATATCTGTTCCGTGAGAGCAACAGTACCACATAACGAGTGAGCATGGTCTCTATATCTATAGACTTTTTTAGCGAGGAAATTGTCAGACATCCATTAACGTTAGTGCATGCGAAGAAAACAACTGGAAATACAGCGCTAGTTGTTCTCTCCATACTCGACAACAACGGAATCCAACGGCGTGGGCGAAGGTGTAATGCGTGTATTAAATTGTATGAAATAATCCTGAAAAAAGCACAAACACGGCAGAGATGGCAAGTACAGCAGCTGCTGGAATAAGCTGAGAGTGACGTTAACAGACAGCAGACAAACGGCCGCAATCCACCTGTCACTCAAGTGGCCACCCCCTTAATTATGCAGGCTTAATATAATTTAAACGGATGAGTTGTAAAAAAATTCACCCCCCTCACAGTTGTCATGAAGGGCAAAATAAGCTATAAAGACCAAAACCACTTTTTGCTCCAGGCTGTAAACGTGTTTTTTTCTGCTGTAAAGTTGGGCATTTTAACATGGGTGAGATGCAGATTTGACTCACTTCTGCAGCCTGCCTCAAGCGGTCAGTAGATGAATTGCAGTTTAATTCACTTCCGTGTTGGTTTCAAGAGAGAGACAGGGAGGTTGCCGCTTGTCCCAGACGAAAGATGACCAAACGTAGCGATTTCTATGGTCGTGACTAGCTAATAAAAATGCAACATGAAATGGCATATTGATCAATGTGACATGGCGCTAAAAATACAACCTCAAGTTCCATTTGCTAAATTGGCATGCCGAATTGGCTTCTTTTCCCTGGCCATGACCGCATCCATATTCCCCTCTTTCGCTTCCTACTTTTTTTTTCAGCGCACATAAAAACGAATCGGTTACCTAACGTAACCTCGGTTCTCTCTAGAAGAGGGAACGAGTATTGCGTAAGCTAGCTTACGCTGCGGGAAAGATTCATCTTTGCTGAGATATTGAAGCCAAAAAATTATATCATAATTTTGTATCCATACACAACGCAGTTCCTCTGCGGCAGACCTAGAGCGGGCTAGCTAGCAGCTCATTGGTTCGCTCAGAGAGAACTGCTTAAGCCTATGGGAGAGCGGGGCTGAACCCGCTTCCAATGAGAGGCGCCCGCGCGCTCATTGCGTCATGACCCGCCAGAATGGGCGTGGCCATGGTGTATATAAGGCGCTCTCCCAGGCTTATATGTTGATTTATTTCAGCGTGAAGCGAAACGCTAGTAGCGCAAGCACGGCCGGGAACGCAATACTCGTTCCCTCTTCTAGAGAGAACCGAGGTTACGTTAGGTAACCGATTCGTTCTCTTACGAGAGGTTCTCTCGTATTGCGTAAGCTAGCTTACGCTGCGGGAACACCTGGCCAACGCCGTGCGCGCTACGAATCCACTCATGAAAAACCCAGGGATATACCGGGGGAATTTCTTAACGTGGAGTGAATGTACAAAGAGGCCGCAGAGCGGGCTCATGAAGTGTACACATAAGCATGTATGGGGCCAGCAGAGCGGGCACATGAAGTGTATAAGCATTACAGGAGAGCACAAGGGGCGAACCGGTTGTGAGGGACCTCCAGAAATGCAGCTTCTTAGAGAGCTGTTCGTCAGACAGCTAGTAATTTTGCCTGCAAGGCGGGAACTTCCAAGTTATAAAACCTGACAAAAGTGGACGGGGAGGCCCATCCCGCGGCCACACAAATGTCATGAATGGAAATTCCACAGGACCATGCCCACGATGAGGCCATGCCTCTAGTGGAGTGCGCCCTGATGCCCAGAGGGCAGGGCAGGCATTTAGATGCGTAAGCAGAGGCGATAGCGTCCACTATCCATCTAGACAGTGTCTGTTTTGAGGCGGCCAGACCCTTGGTGCGCCCCCCAAACGACACGAAAAGCTGCTCAGCGCGTCTGAACGCGGCAGCGCGCGTAGTGTACAATCTCAGAGCCCGCACCGGACAAAGGAGATTGGCATCGCGCTCACTATCGGATGAAGGCAGAGCCGATAGGGAGATAATCTGAGCCCTGAACGGGGTACCAATCGCCTTCGGGACATAGCCATGCCTAGGTTTGAGAATGACAATCGAATCATTCGGTCCAAACTCAAGACACGCGGCGCTGGATGAGAGCGCGTGAAGATCCCCAACGCGTTTAACTGAGGACAGAGCCGTCAGGAAAACGGTTTTGAGCGAGAGGTATTTCAGATCCACAGACTCGAGCGGTTCGAACGGGGGTGCTTTCATAGCTTCAAGGACTATAGAAAGATCCCAAACCGGAACCGACGGGGGCCGCGGAGGGTTCATCCTCTTAGCTCCCCTGAGGAAGCGGATGACTAACTCGTCTTTGCCCAATGACTGAGCGCGTCGGGGTTCCGCGAACGCCGCGACGGCTGCCACATAAACCTTGAGAGTGGAGGGGGACCTGCCCTTGTCCAGCATCTCTTGAAGGAAAACAAGCAAAGACGGCACCTCGCACGACCGTGGGTCCAGCTGTTTGTCGGTGCACCATTTTGAGAACACAGACCATTTAGACGCATAGAGCCTTCTCGTGGAAGGTGCTCTAGCCTGTATGACAGTGTTTCTTACTCCCTCTGGCAAATCAACGAATAGTCGTTGATCACCCATGCATGCAGCGCCCAGCGCTGTGGATGGGGGTGCCAGATCGTGCCGCGAGCTTGAGAGAGGAGATCTGCTCTGACTGGGATGGGCCACGGGGCTGTCTGTGACAGCTGCGTGAGCTCCGGAACCCAATTC